CTGCAGTTAGTCATCCACAAGGCAAGGGGCAAGCTGAAATAACTAATCGCACGATATTCGGGTGCTTAAAGAAAAAATTGGAGAAACTGAAGACAAAGTGGTACGAGAATCTCCCTCAAGTGCTTTGGGCCTATCGAACCACTCCAAGACGACCCACGGGAGAAAGCCCATTTGCTATGGCATATGGGTCCGAAGCTGTCATTCCTACCGAGTCCATAATCCCAACCCTTCGGACATCCTTGGTGCTGGAGGGGAACAATGAGCAACAACTCGAACATAGCCTTGATTTGGTGGACGAAAGGAGAGATGCAGCAGCAATTCGACTCGCGGCCTACCAACAACAGGTGTGTAACAGTTATAACAAACGCGTCAGGATCAGGAGTTTTGTGGTAGGCGATTGGGTGTTGAAGCAGGAGACAGCTCATGTAAAGAAACTGGAACCTCATTGGACCGGACCCTATAGAGTTACTGAAGTAGTGGGGAAAGGAGCATATCGTTTGGCCGAAGCTGGCGGACGCCCCATTGCGCGTCCTTGGAACGCAATACACCTGAAAAGGTATTTCCATTAGTTAAGTTTGTCAATTTTGCTATAAGTTCTTCACAAATAAGGCTGAATATGTCCGCAGTTAGCCAAACTTTTCTTTATTTTGCTTCTCTATTCAATATCACTCTCCTTTGTTTTTGTTTCTTTTTATAAAAATGGGGAGTCATACGAACTCTATGATTACGCAGTTTTTATGCATTACGCAAACGCAATTTTTATGCATGCCAAGTCGCACAAAACAATGATTTTTACAAAACAAAACAAAAACGAACAAAACACAAACACAAAACCCAACAAGCACACAAGACACAAAACACATGAATTATGGCCTGTGCTTAAAACTTTCTATCCCACATCGATAAAACAGTATGTACTACATTCTGTTATATATGGGAATATTCAAATAGTTAATTACGGTGTAAGGAGGGCCCACTGGTATTTAAAGCTGTCAAGCTCAATACCAGAGGCATTCCTTACACTGACTTTTTTGACAAAATTTAGTCTATGTCCCACATCGGATAGAGATAGAGACTAAATGCGGTTCATATATGCGCGGTCCACAACATTTGGCTGTCAAGAAGGGAGTATCAGTGGAGGCAGGTCTCTAAAGTCGACAAATAGAGAACTTCACAGCCACTGTTACTCGCTTTCTTGGCCTCCTATCGTTTTTGAGTCTTCAGCCTCATAATAACTGATTTGAGGAAAAATATGAAATAAACCTCCCCTCAGGCTCAGCGCTGGGGAGTAATTCATTCGCCTCGGACCCTAAGTGTCCGGCTTGGCAAAACCTCCCCTCTGGCTCAGCGCCGGGGAGGGATTCATTTAAGCCTCCCCTCGAGCTCAGCGCCGGGGAGTAGTTCTCTCGCCTCGGACCCTAAGTGTCCGGCTGGGCAAAACCTCCCCTCGAGCTCAGCGCCGGGGAGTAGTTCTCTCGCCTCGGACCCTAAGTGTCCGGCTCGGCAAAACCTTCCCTCGGGCTCAGCGCCGGGGAGTAGTTCTCTCGCCTCGGACCCTAAGTGTACGGCTCGGCAAAACCGCCTCGGACCCTAAGTGTTCGGCCCGGCGAAAATCTCGCCTCGGACCCTACGCGTTCGGTTCGGCCTCCACGCCAGGGAATGTATAATTCGCCTCGGATCCTGAGTATCCGAGGCAGCTTCGGACCCTAAGTGTCCTATTCAGATCAGAACTCTTTCCTCCGGACTCCAAGTGTTTAATACCTTGTGTATGCGGATATGTCGTAAGTTCATCATATTCCACCCCACATTAGGAACACATGAGAAGGAAAGAGTATGTATACTGAAGGCAAGTAGAAGGAGAGGAAGGTTCATTTAACAGTTAAATCATTGTCTATACGACTCATCCTGCGATATCAACTAAACTGTTAAAAGGATCTCCTTCTTCCTAATCCTTGCACTTTCACGGATAACATAAATCCGAAGTATAAAGACAATGTTTAATGTTTAAACACATTACCAGTCGGAGAAATATATCAAGAGCATACAGCAAAAACAGGTCAGGCAAGCCTAAAACGAAAAGTTATATTCATTATCCCAAAATAGGCTGTTCATAAAAAATAAAAAAAGAAAAAAAAATGCATAGTTCTACTTCCTCTTCGGATCGAAGGGAGTAGATTCAAAAGCATCCACTACATTAGGACTTGAGGTAGCCGCAGGAGCAGGGGAGCTAGGAGTACCCTTCAGGTGTGCCTTCACCATCTCGGCGAAGCGAATTTCAGCTTCCAAAGCCTCTGGCCCTTCATCATATGGGAAGTGCACCCCTACCTGCTTGTCAAAGGCGTCCGGATCCATCGTCTTAGGGCCTGAGCCCTGATTATAGCCAGACCGGAACGCCTTCGCACTAGCCAGGTGCGCCAGACAGGAGTAACGCCCCTACATTTGCTTCCCCGCCTTGAAGCAAGTAGTAAGAGCCTCGGTCAGGCGTTGAACCTCGGCCTGAAGAGAATCCACCTTAGCCTCAGAGGCTGACAACTGCCTCTTATACGCATCCTTGGCTTCAGACGCTATCTTCAGATCGGTGGAGGCAGTAGTGGCTCTCTTCTCTGCGCTGTCAAGATCCTTTTCCAACTTCTTAATGGAGAGGGATTGAGCTTCAGCAGTGGCGCAGAGGGCCATGGTGTGGTATAGACTCTGTTTAACAGGGAAGCGAATATAAGCATAAATAGAAACACAAGCAGGCAAGAATAGCATAATTCTGAAGGTGCAATGCAAACCTCTATGGCCCGGACTGGGGCAGAGGGGAGAAGTTGCTCCAACCCCATTTGGCTGACGGCTTCCTCGTCCTTTGGGAGCCACATTCCTCGAGCCACCGCCAGTGCAGCTGAAGGGTCTGTAACCACAGAATCCCCTGAGTGTAGGACTGACCTGTCAGCCCTGGTGAAGGAAGGAGTCCAAGGAGCTCCAGTCTCAGCAAGAACAAAGGCCCTGACTTCATCTTCAGGTTCAGCCTCCCCAGCTTTTTTCCCTCTGCTTTTAGAGGGGACTTTGCCCTTGCCAGAGGAAGAGGGGTTGAGGCGAGATTTCTTCAATGGTGGTTCCTTAACCTCCACCTCATCCTCAGTTGATCCAATAACGACCAAGGGCTGGGCATCTCCGGCTTTCTTTTTTAAAGCCTCAGCCCGCCGTATCTGCTCCTCGGTCATAGGGAAACTGTCAAAGGATGGTAAAGCCAGGTCCATGAGGTCTGCAGCAACGGCACTGGAGGCAATGTCCTTAAGGTTGGAGGAAGTTAGCAGGTTCTCGATAGGCGAGGGGTTACTCCAGACTCGTTCCTCAAGAAAAGAAAGCCTGTTCCTTGCTGCGGAGGCCGGGAATGTAGCTGAAAAAACACCAAGAAATTCATAAATACGGCGAAATATTAAGACTTGGCAAGGAAAACAGCCAGAACACTTGGTATGAAGGGAGGTTAAATATTCTATACCTAATTTCCGGAATTTGCGCGGAATGGGAAGCGCAATTGATTGGGACACGAACCATTTCCCTTTAACTACAACCATCCTTTCTTTCCATTTCTTTTCGGATGAAGGAAGGTTCGTGCATATCCTTTGATGAAGGGGAGAGGTAAAAAAGAAGCGACCAGGCTCGGTCCCATGCTTAGATATATTGTATGTAAGCAGAAGGTCGGCAAGGGTCAAATCTAGAGCCTCTAATTTCCGGCGCACCAACAACACCGAAAGGATGCGAAAGAAATTGGGATTTACTTGAAGGGGGGCAAGACCTAGCTTATTGAAAACTAAATGATAGAAGGGATGAAGAGGGAATCGGAGGGCGTTAAGGTGCCCTACAGAAAGAAGCAACTCATCCTCCTCAATTCCCTCGCCGGAGGTGAAATCGGCACCCTCGGGATATTCTGCAATGTCTACTCCTTCAGGAACATCAAATTCTTCCATTACCGAAGCAATAGAGAATTTGATGCGGCGAATAGAGATGATTGCTTTCTTCTCTTCATGGGTAAGAACGTAATTAGAGCCTGAGGTGGATGTTTCGGTTAGAAGAGGGGAAGTACCTGACGAATTCAACGAAGGGCGAACTGTAGAAACCCTAGGAGGGGGAGCCCTAATGCGAATGGGGGAAGACGAAGGTGTGGATTCAGAATCCCCGATATCTACACGTTCAGGAGTAGATGAAGTACTCATAATGAAATATTGAAGAGAAAGATGCGAGACTAACCTGACAAAGTGAAGGAAGCGATGAAACGAAGGACGCAGAAGTGCAGCAAGGGCAAATGTAACTCTGGCAAAATCTTGTGCGAAGGAAGTAATAACGAAAGGCCACGAACCGTTTCTGAAGCAAAGTGAAAACCGGTTTCAATTCCCTCTTTAATAGGAGCCGTCACTCAATTAAAAATGGAATTTGGGGCAAAGTGTGGAGGGAAAAAAACTCCCTCCAATAAAAAACACACACGTCACCACTACCCATATCTACAGGCCAAGGACATATAAGGCCCATCATGCTCAAGCCCAAGTTGAGGGTATTTACAGCCCAAGATCATTCCATCAAGGCCGAATCAAGAAGCTATCAGCCCAGCTTGTCGTCAGCCCAGATATGAGTATTTAACATCCGGCCCGTTACCTAAGCCCAGCCGGATCAAAATATATTCAGCCCAAGAATGCACAAATCCTACCATTTGAAGAATTTACCATAGAAGGAAAATTCGGATAGGAAGTTCTGTACAAGGCAAATTCTATGTATGGAAAATTCAACAATGGAAAGAACTCTATTAGAAAAGAATGGTTATATAGAAAGAATTGGAGGGCAAGCAACGCGAGTCCTACCATAATTCTGCAATCTTTTGTATATAAATAGAGGTTAAGACCTCCAATAAAGGATCAAGCAATTCCACACTTCTCTACACATTGTTCTTATTTATTTTTATTGTTTTTGAGTGAGTTGTTTTATTTTTCTCAGTCATTATTGGTTGAGCGAAATTTTGCACCTACATCACGTCAAGCATCTCTGCTGCAAGTGGTACAGTCTTCACATACCTGTCAGAAAAGAGTGGCAAGTTGATCAATTGTTGTGAACATAGAGTTTAAAGGACCCTAATTACTTCTTAATGTTGTTTGGTCTTAGTTTAAGACTCATTTATTTGTCTTGTTTTTCTTTGTTTCCAAGTGTATTGGAAATGGTCCTTTTCAGTCTTCTTTTCTGAGTTCTAATCAGTGGGGGTATGCCTCCACTTTTTCCATTGTAATGAAGACTTATTTTTGTTAATGGAAATCAACACATTTATGGAGAAAAAAAAAATAAAAAATAAAAGAAAAAAGAAATGAAGACACTTATTACCATTGACAAATAAAATAAATCCTCAACTACAAGCTAATTCTATTTATTTTAACTATGCTGTTCTCGTAAAAAAAGGAATTTGATTAAAAAAAGAAAGAGAAAGAAAGACCGTCCCACCAAAAAGCATATACACAACAGGATCAGGCAAGAAAATTGTTCAACAACCCCCACCACCACTAAAACCAAAAAAATAAAAATAAAAACTGCCCTATAGAAGTAAGAGAACTTACTTGAGATAAAAGCATTAATGTTCCAATAATTACCTGTCCAAAAAGGGCATGAGAACGTAATCATGAACCAACAAGTCCAAGGCCCATGGTATAATTACCAACAATGCCAAAAATTTAGCCTGCAAGAAGAATGAAGATGATTAAACAGTTGGCAGAACATCTAAATAATTAGAAGTCAAAATATACTTATCAAAAAAAAAAAAAAAACTAGAAGTCAAAATATGTGTTGTAAATTTTGTAATAATTTAGAATGTAATGAACTAAAAAAAAAAAAAAAAACAATTAGAAGTTTTGTTACTAGTCAGTTATTTAAATAATATACTATTAGAAGTTTATACCATACAATCTTTTGATCATTTGACCTCATAAATAAACCAAATCATTTCAATAATTCAGGAATTGAATTAAATTAAGTAAAAGATAAGAAACCAGAATAGTGTATCTCATCATAAAGAGTACATGAGAAGCGCATGCAGGGGTAAGGTAGCATAGAATACTAAATAATGGTTGCTTCACTTAAAAATTTCGCCTAATAAAAGGGTAAATTTTGTACTGATACTTGAAAATTTTCAAAAAAACTAGAAATAAAAACATTTATATTAGGTATAAGGGCATTAAAAGTCATTGCTTTGGTGGCTTTGGACTTAATTCCACAAGCCAAAAGCAAATGAGAGATAAAGGTGTTGGCTATAGTTTCAACCAACTAAATAATTTCTAAGTGAAGAGAGGAGAGAAACAAATATTGTATTGAATTGAATTCTTTGTTGTGTTCATATCTTAACAACAAATACATTACCCTATATATACTATTCTCCCATAGACCTTTGAACTTTTCAAGACAATTTCAACCACACACATGATACATGCACACACTTGATACATGTACATTCTTGATACATGTATCCACTTGATACATGTACAATAATAGATGCATGAATGAACATATACATGAATGAACATGGCATTAATTATTTTTAACACACCCCCCTTAATGCCATGTTGTGATACCCAACAATTCTCTAAAGTATTCAAACTTATTTTTTGGAAATGCTTTGGTAAAAATGTCCGCAACTTGGTTTTCTGTCTTACAATACTTGAGTTGAATCTCTTCATTCTCCACGGCTTCTCTAATGAAGTGATGCTTGATTGCAATGTGTCTTGTGCGACTATGGAAAATAGGATTCTTTGTCATAGCAATTGCGGATTTGTTGTCACATAAAATTGGAGTAGCTTCCCTTTGTTTCTCACCAACATCTTCAAAAATTCTCCTTAGCCATATTGCTTGTGACGCTGCCATTAATGCTGAAATATACTCAGCCTCGGCAGAAGATTGCGCAACCATTTCTTGCTTTTTAGATGCCCATGAAAATACACCCGAACCAAGAGAGAATGCATAACCGGAAGTACTTCTCATATCATCAACAGATCCGGCCCAATCACTATCACAAAAACCAAACAACTTTGCATCAACATTTTTCTCATACAAGATACCAAAATCAAGTGTACCTTGTATATATCTCAATACCCTCTTTGCAGCCCCAACATGAATTTGACTTGGATTGTGCATAAACCGAGATAATAAGCTTGTAGCATACATGATGTCGGGTCTTGAAGATGTCAAATATAATAGACTTCCAACCAAGCTTCTATAGAGAGATGCATCCGCTTCTTTACTTCCATCTTCTTTCATCAATTTTTCATTCACAACCAAGGGAGTGCAAACGGATTTGCAATTCAACATTTTAAATTTTTCAAGAAGAGTTTTTGCATACTTCTTTTGACAAATAAAAACTCCTCCTTCTTTTTGATAAATTTCAATGCCCAAGAAGTGATGCAACAAACCCAAATCACTCATTTCATATTTTTTCATCATCTCTCTTTTAAAATCATCAATCATTTTTTCATCACTTCCGGTAATTACCAAATCATCAACATAAAGAGAAACAATAAGAATCCCAGTTTTACCTTGTGTCTTATAGTACAAGGTTGGCTCACTTTGCTCCTTTGAAAGCCTTTTTTGATGAAGTAAGAATCAATCTCACTATACCATGCCCGGGGTGCTTGTTTTAGGCCATACAAAGCCTTCTTTAATTTGTAAACTTTCTCTTCTTCTCCTTTTGCAACAAAGCCTTGAGGTTGTTCTACATAGACATCCTCTTTCAAAATACCATTCAAGAAGATTTTACATCAAGTTGATACAAGGACCAACCATTTTGAGCCGCCAAGGCAATGAGTGCTCTAATTGTGTCAAGACAAGCCACGGGTGAAAAAGTTTCTTGAAAATCAATTCCGGGTTGTTGTGAATACCCTTTTGCTACAAGTCTTGCTTTGTTCTTTTGAATGGAGCCATCCGGATTGAATTTTGTTTTAAAAATCCATTTCACACCAATCACATCTTTGTCTTCCGGCTTCTCTACTAACTCCCAAGTCTTGTTCTTCTCAATCACATAAATTTCATCTTCCATAGCTTTCTTCCATGCCTCTTGTTTAATTGCTTCTTCAAAGTTCTTCGGTTCAACAACACAAAAATTGCAACTTGCATACACATCACTAAGACTTTTCATTCTTCTTGGAGTTAAACTTTGAGATGAGGAATTTGAGTTTGATGGAGAAGTTGGGATTGATTGTAAGCTAGATACGGGAGACATTTTTTGTGGAACTTCAAGAAAATCTTCATTTTCATTTTCTTGATTTCCTGATTCTTCATTGAAAATGGGGATTTGATCTTGAACTTTCTTCTCTTTCCAATCCCAAGCAGCCTTCTCGTTAAAGAGAACATTTCTACAAATAATCAATTTATTCTTCTTCAAATTAAAGAGTCTATAGCCCTTTGATTTTGAGCTATAACCCACAAAGATGCATTTTTCACTAACTTCATCAAGTTTGTGCCTCACTTCTCTTGGAACATAAGCAAAACAAATACACCCAAAAACTTTCAAGTGTTTCAATGATGGCTTCCTTCCACTCCATGCTTCAAATGGAGTTTTATTCTCCACCGCTTTTGTTGGACTCCTATTCATCAAGTAAACAGCCGTATACACGGCTTCAGCCTAAATTGATTTAGGTAGCCCTTTCTCATGAAGCATTGATTTTCCCATCTCAATGATTATTCTATTTTTCCTTTCTACCACTCCATTTTGTTGTGGAGTGTACCCAACCGTTAATTGTCTCTCCAAGCCAATATCTTCACAAAACTTTTCAAACTCATTTGAGTTGTATTCTCCACCTCTATCACTTTTTAACACTTTGATAAGATGGCCACTTTGCCTTTCAACAAGCTTTTGAAATTTTTTGAAAATAGAAAACACATCTGATTTTTGTCTCATGAAATAAATTCATGTCATTCTTGAAAAATCATCAACGAAAATAATAAAATACTTGTTACCCGCTTGAGTTGGTGTTGTCATCGGTCCACACACATCGGTATGAACAAGCTCCAATGTTGCTTTAGCCCTCCATGCCTTCTCTTTCGGAAATGACTCTCGATGATGCTTGCCAAGAGCACAACTTTTACAAACTTCTTTAACTTCTTGTATTGTTGGAAACCCATACACCATACTATTTTGTTGTAAATTCTTTAAGCTTTGGAAATTCAAATGGCCAAGTCTTCTATGCCAAAGCCAAGACTCATCAACAACATCCATTTTCAAGGCCATATTTTTTTAACATGAAAAAGTGAGAGGAAAGCTTCTATTTTTACCCATCTTGATTTTTGCTACAATATGATTTTGTCCTCCCTTATCATAAATTTTGCAAGAGTCCTCATCAAAATGAATGGAGTACTCATGCTCTATAAGCTGTCCAACACTTAACAAATTTTGCTCTAAATCCGGAACAAGTAACATATCCCGAATATACTTTCTTCCTTTTTTTGTCTCTATGGCAATAGTACCTTTTCTCTTTGCTTGGACCAAGGCACCGTTTCCCATCCTCACTTAAGAATTGGATGAAGAATCAATCTCTAAGAATATGTTTTTATCTCTGGTCATGTGGTTACTACACCCACTATCAAGAAACCACACATCATCATTTTGTTCCGATGTCGAGTGACAAGCATAAAACATGCTCGTTTCACCTTCTTGCTCTTCGGAAAAATTAGCTTGCTGATTTGTTTTCAACCGGCAATCTTTTTGAACATGTCCAAATTTCTTGCAATTGAAACATTGAGGTTTTCCCCGAAACCAACAATCTTTGTCAACATGGCTACTTCTCTTGCAAATTTCACAATTTTGTTGAGTGGACTCTATATTTCCACTTCTCTCAAAATTATTTCTTCCTCTTCCTCTTGAATTTCTTTCTCTTCCTCTTTCGTGTCTTCCACCTCTAGAAGATTCACCTTTGGATCGATCAAAACTTGATGGGTATTTTTCTTAATTTTTGGAACTAACATTGAGCTTGGATTGAAAAGCACTTTCAATTGTCTTTTCGGAGCGCCTACTCAACCTTTACTCAAATGCTTTTATGGAACCCATCAATTCTTCAACACTCAAGTTTTCAAGCTCTTTAGTCTCTTCAATAACAGCAACAATAAAGTCATATTTTTCCGGCAAACAAATCAGAATTTTTTCAACAATTCTTTGATTAGAAATATCTTCCCCATAGGTCTTCATTTGATTTACCACCTCCATAAGTTTAGAAAAATAATCTTTCAACAGCTCCATCTCTTTCATTTTCATATTTTCAAAATCTCTTCTCAAAGATTGAAGTTTTACAGTTCTTACCTTCGTGTTGCCTCTATACTCCTTCTCAAGAATATCCCATGCCTCATTTGCTTTAGAAGCATTAATAATTCTAGGAAAGATTGTATCAGCAACTCCTTGTTAAATCAAGCCTAAAGCTTTTGCATCTTTCTTCTTATGATCTTTCAATTATTGTCTTTGGGCATTCGTCAAAGTTATTGTATCCTCCAGTTCATCATACTCATCTTCAACATAATCCTATAAATCATATGAGAGAAACATGGTCTTCATCTTCACATACCAAAAATCATAATTTTCCCCATCAAAAATGGGAAGTGCTGATTGATGGGCACCTTGGTTTTGATTGCCTGTAGTCGCCATCACGATGGATCTTCTTCGGGGTTTGTTTTCCCGTCAATAAGCTTCACGCCCAGTTTGCTCTTGATCGAAATCAAGCTCTGATACCACTTATGTTGGCTATAGTTTCAACCAACTAAATAATTTCTAAGTGAAGAGAGGAGAGAAACAAATATTGTATTGAATTGAATTCTTTATTGTGTTCATATCTTAACAACAAATACATTACCTTATATATACTATTCTCCCATAGACCTTTGAACTTTTTAAGACAATCTCAACCACACACATGATACATGCACACACTTGATACATGTATCTACTTGATACATGTACAATAATATATGCATGAATGAACATATACATGAATGAACATGGCATTAATTATTTTTAATTAAAGGATGTGCATAAAGAAAAAGTACGAGAAGAACAACGAAGAAGAATCAGAAGATGACAAAGTGAAGGATGAACTTTAATACCATTTGATCCACAAAAGCGGGATGGAAGTGTCCTTGCATACATGCATTAATATGGGTTCACCTATATAGAACATGAATTATAGCACTTTTTCGGAGTGAAAAGTGACCTCTTGGGTGCCAAGATTGATGTTCTTTTTCAACCTAGACTACTTATAGTAATTCTGCGGCGTAGGGTCAAGAATGTAACCAATCATTATAAGAATGTAATCGTGTCAAAGCCTATACTGAAATTAATATCATCGCTCTGAATTCCTGTCACTATTTTGTCTCTTCTCCATTCATATTGCAGTAAAACGAAAATAAAACCTTGTATTCGTTTTCTAGAAGTAATGTCAAAAAATGTTGGACCAAAAATACAATCTTAAAAAACCCAGTCTTAGTACATATTATTTGAAAAAAGAAGAAAGGATATTTGTATCAAACTTCATTGTTTAAAGAATTTATAAATTGCAGTACAATAATTTTTTTTTATTTTTTTATTTTTATTTTTTTTTTGCCACAAATGATTTATTCTCAAGTTTTTGTGTTAAATTTCTTTTTTTGTTGCACCACATGTTCAGTGAACCAACTGGCTTATTGTTGATTCTCCCGATTAAAAGATGAGGTTCCAAGTTATATCTTATTTTCTGATGATATTGACTTTTAAGCAGGAACTTTGGAATCAAGTGGGTTCAAAATAAGTATGGCTAGAATTGAATGTATGAAATATAACTCTTAACAAAACTATTTATCCAAAAAAAAAAAAGGATAGATTTTTTTAATAAAACTGGGAATATGAATAGAGAAATAGTGAAGATAGAAGGTCCAGAGAAACAAGAGTGAATGCCTTGATAGTTTATGGTTAATTATTCATTGTGAAGGACAGATTAGTGATAGTGTTTCTTGTACTATTAATGCTAGATGGGGAGTGGAAGAATGCTTCAAGCATATTATTTGTGATCAACTTAAGCATGCAGGTTGAAAGAAGGTTTCTACAAAATAGCTATTAGACCGACCATGCTTTATGGAAAAAATATTGGTCGACTAAGAAATATGTTCATAAGATGTGAGTACCTAAAATGCAAATATTGAGAAAAGTTTATAAATGAGTACATTCACAATATGTAGAAGAGTCTTCATTGATTATAAAAAGAGAGAAACCCAAGTAAGATGGTTTGGCCATAGACAATGAAAAGACATTTGAAGAAGAAGAACAGTAAAAGAGAAAAGAAATGAAGAACAAAATGTTATATAGTATATTCCATACAGTGCGACAAATGTTTGAATGTAGGATGATCAAATAAAAAGGCACATGCCTGCCATGGGACATAATCCCGAAGGTCCAAATGCTTCTTGTAGAGACATAGTGTAACAATACTCTATATATGCATTATGCAACCAGAAACTGTCTCCTTTCTTATCTCCATTGTAAAGCTTAATGCTTTTATTATTTTTCATATGTGATGCATGAAGATTTGTTTTCTATGTAAAATGAACAAAAACTAGAAATTGTTAGTGAACTTGAGACACAAGAATGTCGGTTTGTCATGTATGACAAGTCAAAGGACTCCTCAGGTGCTCTTAGACACGGTTATTTTCAGTTTTAGCACGATATGTTCCTGTAAAAGACATATTCTTGCTTCAACATTCATTTTATGTGAAATAAAAAGATTACAAGTGAATAAGGCATTTAAAACGAGATTGATAATCCTATGAAAACTTCACAATGCCATGGTACAAAGATAAATGTGTATCACATTTTCAGAAAACTATCTAGAATTGCATATTAACATAACATACACTAATCAGCCCCCACAAACTCCTTTAACAGGAAAGCAACTTGACTGCAACAGAACTATAAATCTCTGAGAAGTAATAATGTTAGCTAACCCCAAATACTTGAAAATCAGATTTTTAAAGCTGAATTATGATAATAAAAATGTTTATATTCTTGCTGCTGCATTGTAAAACTGTGAAAATGGACTTACTGAGTTCAAGGAAGCATATCGAACAACACGATCCTCATATAGCATGTCATCATCCTCCCTTCCGAGGACCAAATCCCTCACAGATTCGACCAACCCTCTCTCCGGAATCATGTCACTAGGACCTGGTTGTACACCTTCTCTGGATTTCCCAAGTTCATCGCTCGAATCTTGAACCCATGATGAACCATTGACATCCTTTGTCCTGTCCACAAGCCAATCTTCCCACCTCCTATTCTCTTCATTGCTCATATCTTCCTGGGCTTCTGTCAATTCAATGATTGCCTCTGCTCTCCTCTTCCACACTTCAAACTTCTCACCCTCAGATAACTCGTCTTCGCCCGAGCTATCCGGTGCCTCCTCTTCAACTTCAAGCATATCCTCATCCCTCAAACCAAGCCAATTTCCATCCTCATCGAAAAAGAACTTCTTCCACCAACTTCTCTTCCTTGAATGACTTTTCTTTGCATATGGAATCAACCCACCAAACCTCTTCCTTCCCCGACTCAATTGAACAACAATATTAAACAAATTATGTGAATATAACAACGATTTGTGACAACTGCTTCGATTTGAAAAGACTAAGTTTTCACATAAGATCATTGAAGTGCTCATTAAGGAACCCAACATCTTTCAGCCTCGTAAAGAAGTAGGCCAGTTCCAACTCATATAAGATTATTCAAATAATAAATAAATAAAAACATTGGAATGGAATCAATTCAAGATTGTTATTCCACAAAATTCAAGATGTTCCTCGTAAGAGACCACTAGCACGCAACATACCCAAAAGTCCACAAACCCTAAAACCCTAAACCCATCATAATGAAGCTGAAGAAATGATTGTTAAAGAACTAGAGAGAGAGAGTGGTAGGAGAGTACTTTGGTGCAAAGCTGTGAGTTGTTTTCTTCAAGCATTCTGATCTTTGTTGTGGGGTTTGGTTATCTGATTTCACTTATTCTGGACTCGGATACTAAAAAGGAGTGATCAAATTTTGATTAGATAAAAAGACTTTATTGACCCTTTATCGCCATTCTACCCTTTTAGTTATGAGGATATCCAATTGGTTTTCTGTGCTTTCATGGATTGGCATCCAAGTAATTTAATTGGAATCTCGGGGGTAATGCGGACTAAAAAAATCTATTTGGCTTAGCTTTATTTTTAGGTTAGTACATCAACTGCGTTCTTTACTATAAATTATTCGAACGCTACTGGCACTACTTTTGGGTAATTTACGCGCTGTTTCCATTAGTAATAATATAATTTAACGGTAAAAGTTTGAGAGATAATAGTTTTGGGTAATAAAAAACTAAAAAACGTAGCTAATAGAGCTTGATTTCTAAACTTAATGAGTTGGACATTGTTAATCTTGTTTTGTCTTGATTTCTAAACTTAATGAGTTGGACATTGTTAATCTTGTTTTGTCTTAAGTTTATGAATACTTATGTATATTCGTATGTATTAATGAACGAAAATTCTTGGACATGTTCAAAAACATAAAATTTGTAAGTTTATATAAATTTAGGATGCAGGCTCAGAAATATAAATTTATTAAAGCGATTTTGGACACAATGTCAAGCAGGAACTAAACACTTATCGAGCTTACCTTTTTATTGAACGAGTCAAAATAAGTGGAGTATAGCCAACCAAGCCGAGTCTAATCTTTTCAAAGTGGGCTGAGCCTAAACAGCCTTATGAACTCGTCAAGATCTCAAGTTAAACCCAAAATTGAATGACCCTATTCATCTCATTTTTGGATATCTTACTTTCAAAAACAAAAATGATATTTTAGAGAAAGAAGCATTAACACTGGCCTCTATTGAGATTTTTCAATGTTACACTTTTAGCTTTCCTCTGTTCTCCCCATGCCAAAATGTGCACCGTGTGAAATAAACATTAAAGAACAAGTAAGATTTCAGTAATATATATATATGTGTGTGTGTGTGTGTATATATATATCATATAATACTTTTATTTCGTCTAAGGGAAGTGTAACATTGAAAGCAAACAGGTCTCTCATCTAATGAAGCCAATGAATGACAAAGAAGAGAATAGCAAAACCGAGTTCAATTGTATGGGAAGATTATACAATTGAACAAAACATCACAATCTCTCTGCAATTACCATTTAGGAGGCAGTTCAAGCATGTAATACACTAAAACCAAATCACGCATTTTTGTTGTGTGAACTATTGGCTTACTAGGAGTGGAGGTGTGTACTGTTAGGTCTTTCATACTGGATTCATAATGAACAGTAGATGCATAATAGTCTCATGTTACTCCTTTCACATTGAGGCAAGTTGTATGTGGACTTAGACCTTGCTACAGGTTCTCAATCTGCAGCTTGACTCCACTGAAACCTTGGGGTTTTTTTTTTTTTTTTTTTATCCTCTTACTCTCGCGGCTCTCCTTCTTCCACAACTAGCTTACTTCAACGTGTATTTCAGCCCTGCCACAAAATACTCATTCTCCATCTCGGTTTTGCTGAATGGCAGTTCTTTTTAGTCCTCTACTCACACTCCTCTCCTCCTTCAAAGTTGAGCTCAGTTGCATGCGGATTTTGGTTATGCTACCAATTATCATTCTCCAGCTCAATTTTGCTGAATCCATAGCTCTTTCTTAATCCTCTTACTGTCATTTCTCTCCTCACTTCTTCCACTCCGAACCAATTACCAGATTCAGCATAAACCATACTCAACAACATATAGTTGGCAGCATTTTCTGGATCCAATTTTATAAGCCGATGTGCGAGCATCTCTGCAACCTCCAATCTTCCGTGAATCTTACAAGCTGAAATCAAGGAGCTCCAGATTCTTGTACTTGGTTTTATGGACATCGTGGTCACAATCTCATAAGCATCTTCAAGCTTCCCTGCCTTTCCAAGAAGATCAATGTAGCAAGCATAATGCTCTGTAGTTAGTAATATTTTATCATCTTTTACTGCTTCAGCAAAGAGCTTCTGTCCCTCTTCAACAAGGCCAGCATGGTTGCAAGCTGACAAAATGGCAAGGTATGTGATTGCATCTGGCTCCAGCCCCAGCTCTTGCATCTCGAGGAAGAGTTGCAAAGCTTCCTCCCCATAACCATGAAGGGCATGTGCATTGATAAGCCCGCTCCATGAAATAGGATCCTTCACATACATTTCTTTAAAAATTTGATGAGAATCCATGAGACAACCGCACTTCAAATACATATTAATAAGGGAATTGGCAATGAATGTTTCATAACTGAAGCTGGATTTCAAGATATAGCCATGGACTGCACGTCCGTGGTTTACAGAAGCTAGATTGGTGCAGGCAGAAAGTACTGCCAATAGTGTTACAGAGTTGGGCTGAATTCCCTCCATTTGCATTTGATGGAAATGCTTTATTGCTTCTTCTGCAGTATCCCGGGTCTGAGAATAGCTAGCAATGATCGAACTCCACATCACAACATCTTTTACTGTTGATCTTTCAAAAATTAGCTTGGCAGGTCGTAATGCTTCCCTGCATTTGCAATACATGTGTATGAGAGCCGAGGAGAAAAGGAATTCTGAATCAAACCCATGACGGAAAGCATACCCATGAATCTCTCTCCCATGCTTAATAGAACCTAACTCAGCACAAGCTGGTAAAACCGCAATCAGTGTTACTCGGTTGGGCTTAATCCCTTCAAGCTGCATTGCTCGAAAGCAGTCAAGTGCAATATCATAATTGTGATTAGCAGCGCAACCCGATACCATGCTGGTCCATGAAACCTCATTTTTGCTCTCCATCCGATCAAAGACACAAAAAGCCATTAATGAATCATTACACTTCATATACAGGCCAACCAATGCCGTCCAGAGAAAAACAGAATCCTCAATCCTTTCATCAACAACAAGAACAGCATGAATCTCTCTGCCTAACCTCAACTGTCTTGTCCGGGCACATACTGATAAAATGCTAGCAATCAACTCGGGTTTTGGTATAAAACCCAACACATACATTTCCTTGAACATGTTCAATGAATCAACAAAATACCCATTTTGGACATAGCAATTTATCATTGAATTCCAAGAGATGGAATCTTTATGAGGCATTGTATCAAACATCTTACGCGCACATTCAATGTCTGAAAACTTGGCATGCATGGAGATGACAGAATTGGGTATAGTAGGGTCCAAATCAGAGCCTGTTTTGAGGACAATGCAGCGCATTTGAAGACCGAAATGATGGTTTTGAGCATCAGAACAAGCTTTGATGACTGAAGGAAGAATGGCGGTGATTCCATGGAATTGGGAAGAAGAGGGATGGAGATGTTCTTTGTAGAGTTCAAGTGTTTGGTCATACAGTGTACACACAAGTTTTGTAAGTCTGCAATAGAAACAAAATATGGAGCAAAATAGAATTTTATTAATTTATGAATATGGAGTACAGTCCTTTGTAATATCTTTTACAAAAAAAGAATGGTCCTCTAATTCGATTTCTTTATTTTTGGTTGGTTGGATCCAAGGGCTGCACGAGCTTGTTCTTGAATCACTGTGGAATTTGATGAAGAACGGCACGTTGTTGGATGTGCTTGATGTTCTTCGCTTTTGGGTTTCGATTCTGAATTTGTGTCTGAATTCTGAGTCTGAATTCTGAATTTGTGTTTAAATTTGTAGACTTCTGAATTCTCCACCCTCCCCCTTTTCCAGGCCTCTATTTATAGGCTTCTTGGATTAATAGGATGATGACATGTGTCATCTCCTGATAAGGATAAACCTATAACTGGGCCGGGCCGGTTATATTGTGATAATTATCCTTAAAGATAATTATTCAAAATATATTTTATTAGGAATAATTATCGTTTCATTTAATTATCTGAGCTGGGCTAATTAAATAATTTAAATGAACCAAGCCTGGTAAATTAAATAATTTATTTAAACATTAGGCCTATATTTAATGGGTCCATTCGTTAAAACCAAAGCCCACTAAATTTTAGTGTCTACAAATTGCCCCCACTTCAAGTTCCAATTTTGACAAGACTTGTCTCTTTTTCCAAGTGTGACTTGAAGTTTCCTTTTTTTTTTTTTTTTTTTTCATCTTAATTGTACTTTCCTATTTAAATTGAATTGTCTAAATCCCAATACAACTTGGAGGTATCTTGTTGCCTATATATACCCTCAATATTGTAGGGTTTGATATCAATTCCAAAAATCTCTGAAGACTTGTCAGATCACAAATAATTGGTACGTGTGTTTCTTCTTCTTCTTCTTCTTCTTCTTTTTTTTTTTTCACGCATGTAGGAGAACAATTTTTTTTTTTTTTTCTCTCCAAGCATGTCGGAAAAATTATTTTTTTATATTTTTTTTTTTTCTAACCCCCTTTTTTTTTCTTTGCAGGGCTTGATTGAGTATAACAACTTGATTTGTGTCAACCGTATCAGAAAAATTGAGTCCTCCTTCTAGACAACACCGATTTGAGCTTTGTTATCCATCATGGTGGTGTTCAAGTGTTTCGCAAAACAAAAACTGACTATCTTAGAGAGCGAAAATAGTCAACGAGTCCAAGGAACGACATTAAGTGTATATGACTCACTTTTTGGTCGCAATGCTATTCAAGTGCCTGATTCTAACAATAAACATTATTCATCTCATTGGACATGCACGGCCACATGCGAACTCACCGACTTTGGTCCTGATCAGATTAATGAATAATCTATTGTCTCTAAAGCCTTGATACTAAATTCTTCATTTCATGAGAGAGTTGTTGAAGAAAACCAGTTTTCACTATTGGGTCTTAATGTTCAGGCGAAGGAAATATCATGGAGTATTCCCTATAAACTTCCTGCTGAATTGCTATACACCGAACTATATTGGGAGTGGTTAGAAGATGTCTTGGCGCGTTTTCACGACTTTCTATCAAAACAACAACTATATGGTGCTTTATTCGCCTCCCTATTTTCCTATGATCGTCATGAAGATGTATTCAAAGCATTCCTTGAATGTTGGTGCCCAGCCACTAATACACTTCATTGTTCTATTGGCGATCTAATAATTTCTCTTCGAGATCTATATATGCTAGGTGGTCTCCCTCACCAAGGAACAATTTATGATGAAGTTATTCCTTGTGCAGATGAACTATCAAGAGTTGGCAACAACAAAAATTCTATCCCTTTGAGTTGTCAACACCTATTTTTGGCCTTCCACAGACTTTCCAAGAAGTATAAAGGAGATCAGAATGTGAAGATATCTGACTGGATTAATTTCTGGTTTAAAGGTGCATCAAGACATGCCAAACCTTCAAAGAAATCAACAAAAAATAAAGTTCACCGCCCTATGAGGACTCAAAATCCGTCTGGTGTGATCCCTCATGTCCGGTCGATGTCCACCAAAGAGAAAGAAGTATTTATCAACCTTGGTGTAGATGAAACATCGAGAGACACCACTTATCTAGCTGCTTTTTTAGCATGTTGGCTCTGCAAATTTGGCTTACCTGCACACCCTGGCAACATAATTCGTCCTGGGACTTTCAAGGTCACAAGCATGTTAGCAGATGGCTGCAACATTTGTCTTTCCATCCCGGTTCTGGCCAGTATTTACAGAGGCTTGAACGAGATTGTTTCCTCACCAGATCTTGGAAGCTGCTCTGCGATATTTCCTATTCACTATGTATTCGGATGGTTGAGTGAATATTTCAGAACTAATTTCACCATTCCTAATACCAACTATTGGCCTAGAATGACATTATATGCAGGCGAAGGAGGAGCAAGATACTTTGACCATTTTGAAGCCCAAAATTTATTCAGATCATGTAAAGGAATAAACTTAACTCGAATGGCTAAATAATCTTCAAAAGAGCGTCTTATTGTACATAATGGCGAGATGAAAAAGGCTGACTTTGACACCCTAATCAATCTTCGATCATGTTATTTGACATTGCGCCAAAATGACCGTCTTATCATTGAGCCGTATAGTCCACACAGATTTAGCCGACAATTTAGGTACCATCAAGATATTCTTGGAAAATTAAAAAATGACTTTCGTACTTGCACCTTAGAGGAATTTTTAAAGCACTGGAACTCATCCGTTCATTATTCCTCTGGTTGTGATGCGCTGCTTCCTTCAACCTTCAGCCACCAAAAATCCTCAGTTACCAGAGCATATGCCAAATGGTGGTCCAGCGTATATATTGATCCATTTACACAGAAAGAAACTACCTCAAAGCAATCTAAACGCACGATTTCCCCACCAGAGAAACCAACTAAAATCAGGAAGGTTTTAATTAAGGGGCTGAAGTCAAATCTCCCATCTAAGCTAGTGCCAAAGTTAACCATCAAATCTCATAATGATTGTGACGTTGTTGGAGGATCTAGTAGCCATCACCAAACAGCAGAAGATGTCCCACTACTAATCAATAACCGTCGCCGTCGTCAGTTGTCAATGGAGTTAGATGAGGATGTGAAAGCTTATGATGAGGATCGTAACTGGAAGCATGTCACCGACAAAGTGAGACTTGATTCAGTACAGGAATGTGTTGCCACTTCTCTTGATCAATTTTTTACTGGGGTACCTAGCAGTTCACAACCTATACTGGTAACTGTTATTATATATATATATATATATATATATATATATATATATATATATATATTTTTTTTTTTGTACTGCAAATTACCATTATTTATTATTATTTTTTTTAATAGATAAAAGACAGTAAGGGATTTCTTGGGGAAGATGTCGTCATTGTTGCTAACCCAACATGTAGTGAAGAATCTATTTATGGACCGCCTGCCTTAGAGTTGGCCACTGCGATAGGAAAAGGTACAGAGATTTCATTACAAAGAAGCAGAGTTAGTCAACACTCGGATGTTTTGGGGGTTGCTGAAGTGACTAGTCAAGCTATGGAGGTGGTTGAAAATTTTGGTAAAGATCATGTAGTTATCCCTTCTTTGATTTTAAGAGAACAGGGTCCACCCTTGCATCGTGTTGCCCCTTCTGAAATGTCAATTTTCAATGCGGAAGAGATCGTTCTTGATGTTCATCGTCGTGCTCCTTTATTCTTTATTGATTTCATAAAAAATATCATACGCGATACTCCTACCGATAAAATACCGTCTCGAGCACCTAAACTTCAAACACTTTATGAAGGACTCGCAAAACTCCCTGGAGACCATTCAGCTTTGAAGAGGCGAATTGACTCATATACCAATAATGCGGCCAATTATATTGCTACATCTTCTTCATATGCCTGTATGATGACTTCAGACTCTCAATCCCAACGATTGGCCAGTATTGATGCACAGCTCACCAACGCTAGGTCTATAGAAGATGATGGTGCTAAGCGTATAGAATCACTTCAATCTAGTTTGAGTGAAGCTGAATTTAAAGAAGCTAGATTAGCGAAAAAAATTGCAAGAAACCAGGGAAGAGACTCAAGGGCTTAAAGTCCTCATATCGACAACGGATGCACAGTTATCGCAGAAGAAGGAAGCCATCACCAAACTTTGGGAAGATCGGAAATCAATAGAAGAAGCTAACGTCATCTCGAATCGCGATATTGAAGTAGTGAAGCAACTGGAAGAGATTTTATGGCAAGAACATGACGAAACTATCGCTATGGAATTTTAGTATTGATCATCATTTTTTTTTTCAAAACAAAAAGTTGTAACTTTGAATTTTAGCAATAAAATAAATGATTTATGATCTCCATTTTATTTACAAAGATGTTATCATTATTTATTTGTTTTACCGTTCACAGTTTATACTCTTGCGGGCCAGGAGTTTATAAAGAATTTTTTTTTTTTTTTTGCAATCACAGTTTTAACTCATGTAGGCCAGGAGCATAGTGCAGTTTAAGCTCGTACGATCAGGAGCATTGCCTTCATGGGTAGTAGCGCTTCAGGAATTTGCCATTAATGGGCCTCACTCTTACTCCGTCTTCATCAATAATGAGATATGCGCCGTTAGTATAAACTTCGCGAACAACATACGGTCCATCCCATTTGGATACAAATTTATTTCCCTTGCGATTTATGACAATCGGTCTACGCACAGCTAATACTAAGTCTCGAACTTGAAATGACCGAGGTCGAACTCTCTTATTGAACGTTTTAGAAAGTCGAGCTTGATAACACTCTAGCTGTTGTTGAGCTTCTAATCTCTTTCCATCCATTGCTTCCAGTTCTTGAAGACGTAAAATGGCATTTTCTTCACTTGTAAGACCTTCTTGTATG